CTCCGATTTTCCAAATTCCTAAAATATTCCTCTTTTTCCTTTAAAAATAACTATTTCGAACCACCTCTTCTCAGGCCTCTACGCACGTTTTAAAACTATTGAATAAGACAATTTGTCTTTCAAACAAAAAAAGTCCCTACTGGTTTTTTAACCGTTCCTCAACTGGGGTTTTAAGTTTTGTAAGCGTTTATCTCACTCAATCACTTTCATTCAATCTTTCTTCTCCACGCCTTCTCACTCGCTTATTCTCATTCTCTCATGTTCACTCACTCTTTCTCATCACGCGCTCGCGAACACTCACACCCCCGCCAGAACAAAATTGAATTTTGAATCTTCGTTTTTGTGCTTAAACAAAAATGGTGGGAGAAAATGAAAGAGAGGACGATGTTGATGATGAGGTAAAGGAGAGAATTAAGGAGGTGGTGAAAACAATGATAATGGATAAGGTGGCACTGATGATGAAAACGAAATAGGTGGCGATATTATGAAGTGGATGAGGGGCGACAAATGGTATGATACAGTCCCCAGAACATACCCTGATACACGCCCCAGCCCCAACCCCAGAACCAACCTTTTACCAATTTTTTCCCCCCCCCCCCCCCCCCACCCCTCTCCCCCACCCCGCCCCCGCACTCCGTACAACCGACCCTTCCTCCCTTTTTGTTTACAATTAAACCTCGAGACACTTGGCATCAGCTGTATAGACCGCATGGCGGTGTTTTCACTGACATTAACATGGTCCAATACCGGTGTTCATGTCCATGAATACTGTATGCATGAATGCATGCAAGCAGCTCATATACTGGGAAGCGCATCTCTCCTCAACCCTACCTCGGACAAACCACAACATCTGGAGTCACATCGCATGAAATGGTCCGACAGACAAGTCAAGCCCGAGTCTCAGATTCTTATGCGCTCCTCTCGTGCGAGGCTCGGTGTGTGCGCAGTGAAACATGAGGTCAAGGCCGGCAGCAATGCCTGCAACGCGGGAACTCATTCTGAAATAGCTCCGAACTCCTCGTACCAGGCTATGCCACCCAAGCTGAGACAATGCCCGCCGCCGTCATATTTGACATGTACATATGGATGGAACTGCTTCTCCAAACTGCACGAAAGTAAATTGCGAATTCGGTGCAGGTAGGCTCAGGTAGGTAGCTTCAAGGCAATGCTTCACTCCCGGATTGGAGTGAACCCTTGAGCACAATGGCACCTACTGCCCATCACGGAAGGTCTCAAAACTATATGCTGAAAATCAGGCCGAAATCATCTCACCTGGCATCCGCCGTGTTTGCAACAGGCTGATCTGGGACGTGCCGCTCATCGCACACAGGTCATGCCAACAACATAGCCAAGACGGTACGAGATAAGCAGCATGACCAAGGTTCATCAAGGAGTGACTGTGCACTTGCGGTAGTGATGCGCAGGCCTTTCGGTGCAATTGTCACAAGCACTATTATTCGCACGTTGCTTTTTCTAGGATTTCCAAATTTGCTGTGTCTCCGGTGTACGGTTCGAGCTTGGGGTTACTCAACGGCTACTCGGATAGGTGGTGGATTGCAACATCTCCCTTCGAGATGGTGTGCTAAAACACATGCGTTCGGACGGCGGAATGTCTCTCTATCTTGCACTTTCACGGACCCTTTCAAAACATACTTTCTCATTTGGGGCTCACCCTTGCAGCTTTGCATCTGCACGAAGTGACACTGAGACAAGAGAAGCTGTGGCAAGCCAAAAACATCCAGCGAACCACTTCATCCTCTCGATGCAGCAGATTCCAATTGAGTCACCTTGGCCGGAAGCTCCACAAATAGGACATGGTGAAGGCAAGTAGTTTATCACGTGCTCAGATCCTTGCGTAAGTACGCCAGCTCTTGCATCACATGTATGAACGCCTTGCTCGGTTTGTCATGCGCTGAAACTTCTTGCATGTTGACTGCCTTGCAGTTGCGGGGGAATCTCAACAATGCCCCTCTACAAATACTGTAACGGAAGAGTCACGGGGTGCTCGCGAGCAGATACTCTTGTCTGTTGCTCGTGGCCTTGTGCGCCCTTCCTTGTTCTGATTCTTCGAACTCATCTTGCCCAGAGGCCTGCAGAGATGTCTTTTCTGCTGACAAGGGCTAGCACGCAGAGTCGTTGCATGGACGGGGCACAGCCAAGCGCAGCACAGACTGTGAGGAACAGCTCGTGTCCTCCGCACAACAACAACAACAACAACAACAACAACCGCGTGCAGCATGACCCATGCAGTGCCTGCGCCCGCCGAACGTGAATGGCCATCTCGCCAGATCCCTTGAGCGCCTTTTTCAAACGCTTTGCATCGCCAGATACGTCACCAACCTTGGCAGAGGGACATACTAGATTTTCGCGCTCTTGGGACCCCCGCCCCTAATCAGAAACTGCTGCCTTCACAATGTGCATGCCGGCCGAAATGACCATGTGGAACTGGCGCTGCTGGACCTAGTCCCCACTGCAATCCCATGACGATGCGACCCAAAATAGACGGGTTAACAGCAAACGTTGGCTGGGACGAAAGCCATCCGCCTGTTGAATGTGGGGATAGCACCCTGCTCATAAACCTGCTGACCAAGCTTTGCTACCACCGCTTGTGCATCAATCATGGCACCAAGCCTCAACGATGAGCAGTTCGTTCGACAAGTGTTCCAACCTGAAACGCGATTATATACGGTTGGGCGTTGGTAGCAAGCTCGCTTTGGCTGCTCGAGCTGCTTCAACTGTTTCAAAAGGGCACACACACAAATTGGGATACCCGTTGACGGCTTGTTTCCCGAAATCCTTCACGAGCTTGTAGGGGCTGCGGGCACATCCTGCTTAATTCCGTGCCTTTGCCTTGCACTCTTCATGTCGTTTACTATTACTCCTCTTTGCTCGAAGCGCACCATGTCAGCTGGCAAACGGCATGAAGGAACTGTACTTGGCACGCACCCCCATTCAGGCGATGAACATCGTGGAAACAGGAACACGAACGATAACAACAACCGCACAGCTGTATGCGGCGCATTCAGAATTGCTTGGACAAAGGCCGGCAGCCAAGTCCCTTCTGATTCTTGCTGTTGTCGACACCAATCTCAAACCTGATACAGCTACCCGAAACACAGCTGCAAAAGGCTAGTCACTTTCGGTGTCGCCAAGCATCTGGCCAGAACTCATTGGGGTAACGCATGATGTTGACCGAAATTCTTGTCCTGGAACATGACTGGGTAATTTCAAGACGACCAACAGACCACCACCATGCTCACCTCAACACACCAACAAAACAGTGAGCGCCGAGGACCTGCGTATGAGCTGAGGCGAGCACGCGGTTCGCAATTCCTGGCATAGGTCTCGGATCCCCAAAACTCAAAGCACCGTCAACAACAAACGAATTCACATGCCATTTGCAACTCAGGCCTCGCACATCTCTTTAACTTGCTTTTTACCATTGATGCTGCCAATGCGATCGCCTGAAATGATGCATGACATTATACCAGTCTCGGTCCCAAACAATAGTTGAAGAGCAGTGACAGCAATGAAAGTGTTGGCGCACATCTCAATTTTGGGTGCACATCTTCCAAGCGAAACGTTCGCCGGGGGCCAAGATAGCCGTTCCGGCAAGCCGAATTCCGGCGCCGGAAGGGGGCCGTCAACAAAAAAGGGGGGCCGAATGTATTTTCCGACGTGACGAAATATCCGCCAACGCATTTCAAGATCGAAGGTGCTCGGTACCGTTTCATACCGTAAGAAAACCGGCCTCTCCGTCGCCCGAGCCTCCGGCGCAAAAGAGCCATTGCTTAGGAGGACCGAGTGGTCTTTCGCACGTGACAAGATATTTGTCATTGCATTTCAACTTTGACGGCGTTCACTCGTGTTTCATGCACTTAAGCAATACCGGACCCTCCAGCGCCGGAGCCTCAGGCGTGGGAGGGGCTAGTGCTTTCAGCCAAAAAAGGACGGGAGCGGCGCCGCCGGCATTCCTTGTAATCAACACAAAAGGCGATCAAACGTTTTCCAGCGTGATAAAATATTTGCCAATGCCTTTCCACCTTGACGGTGCTGGTAGCATGGACTAACGAAAGAAGTATCCGCACCTCCGCCGCCGGAGCTTCCTTTCCCGGCGCACCCAAAAGATCGCCAACGTATTTCACGCTTCAAGCAGCTCATTACCGCTTGACACGAAACACAGGCCGCCGGTGCCAAAGAGGCCATTGCTATCAACAATAGGGAGGACCGCGTCAAACAACGCAGCCAAGTGTGTCGCCCCCCAACGAGAGCATCGTCATGGACAGAAATGACGCTTCCTGGACTGGTCGACGATCACAAAGGGAGACAATGAAAGGACAAATGGCAAACAAGCAGGAGACAGATGAATGCGGGGCGCCAATCCAAGGGTTTTAAGACAAAGTGACAACGAGACACTGAATCCAACTGAACATAAGGGAACCTCTTTTTAAAACAAATCAAGAAGCCCTCAACTACAGCTGGCTGTGTCATGAGCACAATTCCACAATGGCAGCTGAAAAGCCTGGTTGAACTGCATGTTTGTGGGCCTGCACAAGTGTTGCCCACACAAGGCCCGCCAGCCATCGCATGTGAGCATTGCACACCTCGTTCCATGCAGCGAGTGCCCCCCCTGGAGAGATCGAAAGCACCTGCAGCACCTGGCCACACATGTTGTCAGCTTATGGCCCAAAGAACCACATACATCTACTGGGCACGGAAGGCGGATGACACCAACCTGCTTCTCAAAACCACCACGGTCGTGATTGAAGCCGAATGCACCACTTGACCTCCAGACAAATTGCACGTCAGCTTTCACTGGCCTTCCTCATCGGCAAAGCAGTCGAAGTACCTCTCCAGTTGTATCTCCCACTCGCAAACCTCGAACATGTTTCTCTCTACGCCTTCCAAAGTCGAGCCCAACTGCTGAAGATCGCAGCTTACAACATGCCGCAACAAGACACAACATCCACGTTAACTGTTGCCACCCTTTTCTCTTCCGGGCTGCATCAGGCATTTGCAGTTGTCAAACGCCGAGAGCGGGTCGTAACTGTGCCGAAGACGCGCGCTCTGCATTGCGGTGTCACCAAGGAGAGCACCGCTGCTCGGACGAGCTGCCGTGCAGTCGAAAGTTGAGCATGTTCACCACGTTACTCTGCAGCGTCATCCAGAAGATGCAGATTTGGTGCTCATTCATGTCCGCAGACGCGAAGGAATGCAATTGGCTTGGAGATCGGCTGGCAGCTAGACTCTAGACATACTCGCACCGCACGGCAAGGCGCGAGCTGGGGTCAAAGTTCTTGTCTTCATGCCAGTTGTGCCAAAACTCTTGCAAGACATTCTCAGTGTCTGTGTGGCCGCGATCCTGGGTGAAACAAGAACTGCCGCCGAATCAGACCAGAAACATCGAAAGAACAATTCGAAACACTACATCTCGAGGCATACCTGAAGCCGGGCGATACAAAGCCGAGCAAGTGCAGGCAAGCAGCCGTTCCTTGAAAGACCCGCGTGTACAAAGGTAATTCGCCCCAATTGCTCCCTCCTAAACGGGGCTGCAGCACGCCGCAACAGCTTGTGAACCATCCATCCAGCACTTTGCTGGCAATGGATGCCTGCGCAGCACGTGCAAAAAAATCCATGTCATCTGCAAAGATCTACAGCTATGAGCGGAAGAAAACAGATTGCCTGAAGCATAGCGCTGTCCGTCATGTCAAATGCCCGGCGGACATCATTAACCTGAGCGGCAGTAAAGTAACAAGGTTGCCTAAGCAGGCCGCCGCATGAACACCAGCCCCGTCGTGCGCAATGTAGAAATAGGTTTCGTGCCTCGTCAAACTGCCGGATATGTGCCAACAGCCTCGAGTTGCATTTGGCAACTGTCAGAAGATTTTTTGCACGTGTCGAAAAGAAGAGTGATTGCGGCTGCCTTAGCACATAAGCGGGTAAGAACTGTTTCGCTTGTGCGTGTGTGCAAATAACAGCTGGTCACAATAGCCTCTACATGACCGCCACGCCTTAGGCCTTAGCAAGACCAGTGTGAATACGGGTGGCCGAGGTGCATGATCGGCATCTTCTGCAAAGAGGCGATTTGCTTGTTCTCTGCCTGCCCGGAACGTTTGCACAAAGCACGCGGATAGCTTTTCGTCAGCCTGCTTTCTGACATGCCTTACCATTCCGGGAGCATGTCCCACTAAGCCGCTAAAGCTGTGTGCACTGCGAGGCATCAGCTACACGGAGCCAACACAACGCATGCAACTGAGAGGTCAACAGAGAGCAAGGCGCAGGAATCCTTTTCGGGCGGACGATGGCGGAAGGGATGAGGAAAAGCTGTGCGCCAGCGCAATCTCTGCTAGTATGCACGTCTCCCCTCCCGAGGTGAAAGCATGATTCTTGCTGGCGAGATGGAAATGTAAGTGAAGATGAGCTCCATGCTCCTGGAGACATGTCCTTGCGCCACCTGAAACGCCTCGCGCTCCTACACCCCTGGAACACACATTAGCCCAGTTGTGCAACCCCACAGCCAGCACGCCGTTCCGCTCCGGCGTTCCGTTCCGTTCCGGTGGGGTTCCCGTTCCGGTCTTGGGAACAGCAACGTGATTTCATTTCCAGGATGCAGCCGAACATTAACATAACTTCCGAGCTTCTGGGGCACAGAAAACTGAATACGTGACCACGAACTGAGAACAGGAAGTTCGAAGGGCTAAGGGCTTGGACATGAAAATTCCCTTGCACTTGTCGAGCCAATGACGCTGAGAATCTCATCTGGCGTGGCGCGACTTGCTCGAAACTATCAGATATCATGCCTTGTCAGCTCCCACGTGCACCTTGTGATCGTCGCTATCCTGAAAGCACTCTGCTTGAAGCGATTCCATGTTCCGCTTCCCAGGCTTGGCCTGAAAAACTGTCCATGGCCCCGCCAGTCTGGGCTTGGCCTCGGGAATCTCTCGGTCTCTCCGTTGGCTCCACATGTGGCGTTTTTTCTCGTGGGGCGCGGACAAGCTTCTCTGGAGTCAAGATGCCTTGCTCCAACACCTGTCTGAACGCAGACCTCTCATCCAGTCATCTAGCTTCAAATCACGGCGCCTTCGTCAGTCTCCGTGGTGTGCGGGGCTCCATGTTCTCCCACGCAACCTCCATGCCTTGGTGACACAAGATCCCAGGCGACGGCGGCGACGGAAGGCACACATACAATCACTGAGAATGGAACAGCTGTCGTCAAACTCTTCATGCTCCTCCCCATGTTCAACAAAGCGCACTGCGGCAATGACATCTACAAACTCGTTATGCCATCGGAAACTGTCAAGGCGCATTCGCCAAGAGGCACCGGCACAGCGTTAGGCTACGTACACAATTGCACATGCAAAAGCAGGCATAGCTCATCGTGCCTGGCTGTTCTCTATACTGTCCCAGGCAACCTCGCAGAAAGCAAGCAGTTGTCACGTCACATGTGGGCTGCCTTGGTTTAAATTTGTCACGGCAGCTGCACGTGACCTCAATGCACTCGCGTGCTGCTGCCTGTGACCAAGTGAAGCCTTCGTACTCGACGTGAATATCGAATTGCCTGTGCGCTCGAAATCGCAAGACTCTTCCACTCCATCAGATGTCGCGAACCTCTGCTCTTGATAAGGCGTGCACGGGATGTCAGACTCTGAAAGCAAATCCGACTGATCCTGATGCAACAGTTTTGGGGAATGGGAAACACATGCAGCACGCTGAGATTCCTGAGCATCATAGACGTCATGGGAAGAAGTCATCCAAGAAGTTGTCGGCGGCTGGATCGCAGGTTCGTCCTGCACCAAACACGCACATCAACTTCCCTTGAGCAACGTCAACATGCTCAGCCTTGTTGTTGATACCGGCAACCAGCAAGCGAATGTCGCGCATCTGCTCGGCCATCATCTGCCGGAACTCGCGCAGAAGCCCTTCACGCAAAGAAGCCAGTTCCTGCACTAGCCAGCGCTCTCTCTGACCGACTGGCACACTGCCAAAGCCTGAGCTATCTCCTCCTGCAGCAAGTCCGGCTTGTGTACATATCTCTCTGGCACCTGTACTTTCAGCTAAAAGCAAATTCGCGGAATCACCACATAGGAACACCTCGGGCCCAGACCTCTCGGTTGGGTTGCTGGATGGTCATCCACATCACGGATATCACAGCACACTGCTAGTCGTCTGGAATCCTCTGGAGCCCAAGAGCGATACTGATAAAACAACATGGTACCATGATAAACCTCCGAAAGTGAACAGAGTCACTAAATAGTCCTTTTTGCTATTTTCACTAAGCATTCGTGCGCTCATCTGACAAAAACACTGGGCACGCACGTACCACACACGTGCCAAACTAAATCTACTGCAAAATCGTACAGTGCATGCCGGCCGTTCTGAAACAAGCCGCTTGCGTCTTGTGAGCATGGTGACAAACGAAGGCCGGATGCCACCGTGCTGCAAATGCCAGGGCGTATGTACTACAGTTACAGTACTACAGGAGCCCTCAGCCCTCAGCTGCCTCATAGCAGCGTGATCCAACGACGACGGCCAACAGCGCAACCAATGTGACAGATATGACAGACGCAACCCCAACCAGCATCTGGACCTGTCCTTGCACTTTTCCGGTATCCTCAAGCTTGGCCTTGGTCAGAAGCTGAGAAAGAAGATCAAAAGTGGCCTCGTTGATGGATTCACTTGCAGTACCAGCCTTCTTGTAGCATGTGATGGGGTAAACATGCTCTGTCAACGCTGCCTTCCGGACGCCATCCAAAGCTTTCTGCAACTCTTGTGCTGGATCTTCCTTCTGGCAATCCTTCAGGAAAACGTCACAGTGGGTGCAGGCGACCACGTACAGGAAAGCCACGTTGTTGTTGGATGCTCCTTTGAAGGTCTCAGCCATCTTCTCCAAGTATGACTGCATCTCCTCTGTTTGGTCCCGCCAGTGGCACAGAGACATGACCACCACTGCTCCATGGGGAGGTTTCCAGAAATAGCCGCATTCATCTGGCGCTAGTTTTCCTCGGCGAGTCCCTTCCTGCAACCCACTCGATAGCAAAGTCTTGAGTTTTCCTGTTGTTCATGTTGGCAAAGGCTGGAGCGTCAATGAGGAAGACTTTCGTGGCCACAGTCTTTTCCCTCAGCCCCTGCCGATGCCACATCCATCTGGTCATTGAGGCTCAAGTCACAGTTCAGGCAGCGATACACATGGTTGCTGAAGGAAGACTTGCCATGATGCTGCCCACCCAAAAGCAGAACTTGCGGGTTTCCCTTGGCTCGCCGGAAACTGGCGAGGAAAGTCTCTCCTTCAGATCTTTCGGTGCCTCTTCTTTGCTCAGTTCACCATCCCAACTGACCTGTTTTGTGACGAGGTCACTCAACAAGCCCTCCTCTTCCGACTGGGCCCTGGCCCTGAGTCCAACCTTAACGACCCAACCGGACGTTTTGGAAAGCCTCTTCGGACGCGGCACGTGTGCTGCAAGAGCGTTCAATCCACAAGTGCATGATCTGCTTCAACCATGGGCCCACCCAGTTCAAAGTAGCGAATCTCCAATACGTAGCACGCTGCTCCAACAGCGCCTTCCCAGCTAGTCTTCAAGCTCTTGTCCGTGCGGACAACCACTCCAAGATTGGTGGGCTTTGGGCGAGGGGTTGGCTTCACAGAAAAGTAGGATGCACAGCCATCTTCAGGAACGATCAGGACTTTCTATGGTTGCGCGGGCCAAAAGTCTCGGTCGAAGCACTGTGACTTTCAGTCCGACACTCACTCGCGACATCAACTCGAGCTAGCACAACAAAACTTAAGGTGCTAAGGGTAAGGGCTCTGCCATATGGGAAAAACTTAACTTTGTAGTGATCTGAGAGCATATCCGCGCCAGGCAGTGGCAGAGCAGGGAGATTAAAGTTAAAGAATGTCCAGAGGCACCCCGAGCTACCAATTGCCTCATCCTAGGATCTTCAACACTCTCCAGCAATCACTCCCAAGCAACTGGTTCCCTAGCCAGTAAGTAAGTATGCCACTGAGGGTCGAATCAATTCCAAACAAGGCCTGGCTTGTGCCAGTTCAAAGTCACAAAAGGGAAAGCGTGGCCCACCATTTTGATTCTCTGGCAAGCGCCCTTCCTAAGCGCTGGAAAGTGAAGCCGCGAAGGAGTTTTCTTTGTGTTCTTTGTGAGGCCCGTTTTCATTGCCCCAAAACAGTGGATGGTGAGCTTCAAAATGGAGACATGGAGCGGATCCCTTAGCACCCAAGCACCTTCGATGACGGCCTCTGACTTGGCTTGCTACTCGTTTTACTGATAACTTAGCAGCCCTAGACTCCTTCAAAATGATTGGTCACATCATGTTCGCAGGCTCGTGGCCGGAATCCTCATACACCCTACAAGATTTGAGTAGAAAAAAGGGACGAGTTGATAGATCAATGGATTATGGGGACCCTTTGAGCGTGTCGACGGAGTAGTCCATTCTTCTACCCTTAGGCTTCCCCGTCCAGTGGAAGGCTCTGACACACCGGCTTTGGAGCAGGCCCGCAGCGCCAGAGGCTGCTTCAGAGCAGTCCCATTTCTGTTCCGACTTAAGTAGTGTTCGTGGAGCATGGTAACTACTGGTTCTGCGGGCCATGCTCGTAACGTCTAGTAAGGTTTCGAGCTGCAACTATTCCCGAGACAACTTGTTTTGCAGCAGATTCTAACATGTGCCAGACGCTGTTCTTGGCTAGCTCAGATGACTGTGGTGGATTTCTTCGAGTTGTCTTACATTCTTCGTCTCAGACCGTTTGGGCTCGATCGGTGTGCGCCTTCAGTGACAATCGCTCGGCCACCCGGAGAAGTGAGGCCGGGCCAAAGGGTGCAGCTGGAGCCCATCAGCAGAACGGAGCATGAGATTACGACGGAAACCCAAGCCGAGTCTGATTCTGGGGCGTCTTCTTGTTTGGCCTCACGAAGGTCTCCCACCACAGCCCTACAAGCTGCTCTGATCGAGATTCAGTTACATGTGTTATGTCGGTGGAGTAGCACAGGAAGAGTAACTGATACGCCTACACACTTCATACACAAGCAGCATTGCTGGGATGAGTAATTGCTGCAGCAACCACAATCATAAACCCGGATTGCCCAAACACAATTTGGTGCATAAATAAACGGAGCCGTGCTCCCCATGAGCTCGACACTTGGAGTGGGTAGTCCGGATACTGCAAACCGGTGGTACAGCATCCTTGCACAACCGCGAGCTTTCTTGGTGTGGCCTTTCAGGCCCCGGACAGGGCTCACGTGAACAGGTTCCTCATTGCTACCGTTCTGAAAGCCCTGCAATCCCAAGGATACCCTAGCAGGCCCTGGCATCTCTGGCAGTAAACCTGAAGTCCTCACCCGTGAGACTCCAAACCGCCAAAGCTTGTGTTCAACCGTGTTTCCGAAAGTTAGGGTTCCTTGGCCGTGGTAAGTCCCCCACCAGCCCTCAGAAGTGGCAGCACCGTTTTTTTGCAGGGTGCTGCGCAGTACCCGTGACGTGAGACCGTGAGACGTGATACCTTCCGACACTGACCACATGACGAACTTCTGGAAATTGAGAGGGCCTTTCAAAGGGGCCCTGAGTACATGTACTGTAAAATCCCTACATTCTGCGCGTGGTTCGCTCAAGCTCAATCGAGCAGCAGCGCGTCGTAGTGCTGCCGGCCTTGGTATAGCACCTGCACTGCCTTCCTGCCCTCACCAAACTTGGCGATGCGGGCAAAGCCACCCTGACGGGATTCATAGACTTCCACCATCACCCTGCGGCTTTCGGCCAGCACGGCCAATTCAATGCCACCGCCCCAACCACCCTGCCGAAGCCGGTGGACATAGGTCCCCACGGTGCGGCCCGAATCCATCTTCACCCAGTCCTGGAGCTCGGTGCCGATAATCTGGGACTGGGGCTGCCTCTCGATGAGCTGCGCAGCCTCCTCGCGCAGTTGACGAGCTGAGGTCCCTCCGAGACCAAACGCCAGGGCGTGGAAGAGACAGGAACCGTCTCCGGGCTGGCGCACGATCCTGCCCTTGGTCACGAATTTCTGGTCTGCCTGGCTGGCGGCGACGAGGTGCGACTTGCCGACGAGATTCCATGCGTCTGGGTGCTGGTCTCTTGGCTTCTCGAAGTGTGGGCAGTCTTCCGTGGCATGGTTGCCATCACACTTGTCACAGGTGAGCTTGCGCTTCTGGGCCGGCTTCTCCTTCTCCGAGAACTGGGGCTTCGGCTGAGGGGCCGAGGGAGCCGAGGGCTGCGTGGTTGGGGCCAAGCCGTCGCTTCGCTTTGTTGGGGCTTGGGCCTGTGACAGCTGTGGTGGGGGGGTTGGAGGGGGCTGCGACTGGGGCTGGGGCTGGGGCTGGGCCATGGTAGGCATGGTCGCCACCGGTGCGGTTTTGGGGGATACCTTCGAGGGCGGTTGATATGGTGCTTGTGGCTTTTGCTGGTACAACTCCAATTTCTGGCGCTTGATCTCCGGACCTCCGCCATAGCGTGACAGCCAAAACTTCCACACCTTCTCCTTCACTCCGCGGTAGTCTTTGATTGGCTGTTTGTTCGGCTTCGGGAAACCATCCGCCCCAATCAGGTTGTGGTTGGAAATTGGGCCCGGGGGGGAGGTCTTGGTCCGGAGGAAGTCTTTCCACTGCAGCCACTGGGAACATAGAAGGAAACACACCTGCAGGGTCTGTAGAGGAGCAAGTCAACAAAACGCGCTGAAACCCTCAATTCATAAAAACTCTAAACCCTAGAAACCCTAAACCCTGAACCCTAAACTTAAAACCCTACGCGATAGCACGCGTGCCCTATGTTTTGCGGGTACCTCGCCGTGCTTGGTGTCGCATTTCGTCACGAACTCATACTCTTCGGCAGCGCGCCTTTGAAGCTCCATCTTGGTGGCCTTGAAGGATGTTCTGGTCTGGAAACGTAAAACTAAGAACTCCTTGCGGAGTTACTTTGCTGAGTTCTGAGTCCACTGTGAGCATCGGCGGGTGGCACCTGAAAGCCTGAAATCCCAAGCCCAAAGAAATCCTTCTCCAATCCACGTAAGAATCGTTTCGTGTCCAGGGTCTCATAAGAGATACTGTTAGCAATTAGTATTCGTGCTACTGTTGTTATTATTGCTATATGTTGCTATTGTTGTTATGACCGTTTAGGTCTTCAGGGTGTGGGCGGAGACCTGGCAGACCCGGGAGCTGAAAAGCTGCGGCTTCTTGAGGGTACAAGCCTCCCGAGGCCGGGGATCCCTGGAGAAGTCTGATCTTCTCTGCTTACGGGCTATGCCAGGCTCCTGGGTCTGTTCTTGGCTTGACAGGGAAGGGGTTTTGAGGTGGGCTGGAGAACCGACAAAACTAGCCTTTATGCGGCTTGTCTGGCTGAAGTTCACTCTAACACGGCGAAGCGTCAGCCTTTTCTTCCTCCTTGGTCTCCTCAGCGGCCTCCTCCTTCGAAGGTTGTCGAGTTGAGAACACTGCCCGTACATCTCGACCCAACAACAGCAGACAACAAAAAAAGCGGTACACGAGGTACATGACGCCTCTTCTCAAGTGCAAGAAACCCTATTTGACCGAACAAGAAGTCTAGTAGCCTCGAATGCGTTGAGGAAGGACCCTAAGCAAAACCCTCCCCCCAAGCTGCCTTCTCGTCAGCCTCCCGGGCTGCCTCTCGGTCGGCTCAGAATTGTGGTCTAACAACAAAGATGGGGGGGGGGGCCTTGAATAGTGAGACTATAGGGTTTCGGGGCCCATTCTTAAACCGTAATGAATAAAAGAAACCCTACCTCAAATAGTCTTGGCAACTGATCTTACAGCTTGATGCAAAAGCCACGAGCTTGGATGGCAGGCTCCGAAGAGTTTATCCGGAGTGCTTCAACTTTCGAAGTCTTAGGGTTTCGAGCGACTGGGCCTGTCTCGCTTCTCGAATAAAAAAGACCCTTATCTTGGGCCGGCCTGCAAATCCGAAAGGCCGACAAACTGCCTGAAGCCTATCAGGATCAAAACATCCCAAAGCATGCATCGAGACAATTCGGGTTGTTTGTACAAGATTGCCAGCTTTGTGGGTTGAAGCTTGGCGGCTTAAGGGGCTGAAGGTTTCGGGTTTGGTGTCTAGGGCCTCTGGCTTTCTTGACACAGTTCTTGGCTTAGGGGAAGGTCTCGCGGTTTCGAGTTCCAGTGTCCATAGATTACCACCGCGATGCAGACGCACCGACACTATAGGGTCCTCATTCAAAGGGACCCCCATGTCCCGAAACCCTCGCGCCGACTTGTCTCAAGGCCTTGTTCTGCTCGATCTCCGTGAGGCCCTCCAGAATGGCATCCTTCATCTCCTGCTACCACTCTACCAAATTCTACCAACAGGCTGGCTTTATGCTCTCACAGCTCGGACAAGCCCGGCGAGGTCTCAGCAGAATACGAGTCAGCGCGAAAAGAGTGAAGCCACCGTTGACTTTAAGGGCTTGGGGTTCTAAGCAGCTCTCAGCGGATACGTGATCCCGCCCAAAGCCGGGTTTAGTGTTAGTTCTGGGATGCCTTTTCATGCACGGAAGCTAGTCAAGGCCTGTTCGGGTGCCCGGGCTGCTCTGCAGGAAATGCTGCAGCCTGATCCCAGCGCTTTTCAGACAGAAAGCCAGGCCAAAACCTTCCATATTCGTTTCAGAAAGCAACATTGGAAATCTGCGTTTGCAAGTCCGCACCTTCAGTGACACCCCATTCCACGCAGCTTGAACCATCGAAAATGAGCCATGACAAGCACAACCAATCTGAGCACATTGACTGTAGCCCGGATGTTTGAATTAATTGTGTATTTTCTGCTTCTGCTTTCACGAATTGCACGTTGACCACGCCTGGGCCAGAATGCTAAAATTGGAAATCTTGCCTTGCAGATCGTTTGTCGTCAGCGAAGCCAACAAATCTGCATCCGCCATACTCGGGATCGGGGCGCGACATTGTGACAAACAAAGATAAACAAGTCATAGGGCTGAGTTTGTCAGTTCTACTTGTCTCCGACGGACCAAAGCACAGCCACGCTATAGGTACCTGAACAACTAGGCTAGAGGCTTGGTACAATCTTAAAGTCTTGATGGTGCAGTAACCATTAGAGCCATGTCGGAGCTAGTACAGCTAACATACTACTAATTATCCAGACCTCTATACTAAAATGAAGGCAAATTCTGTCCTCGCGCGTCTCTTCCCATTCCTTGACCTTGCTCTGGAATTCTCCAAGTTGCCTCAGCTTCATCTGAAGGACCCTGCTCTATAGGATGCAAACGAGAAGGCTATAAAGCCTGAAGGCATTTAAATTGTGTTGGGTCCTGTTGAGGTTTAAAAGTTCGCGCAACCTGTGCGCAATCTGGTAGCGATATCCTCCTGTCTCATAAGCAAGCCCTCCACCGTCGGTTCCCGCAAAATCATTAAGCCCTGTGTTCGAAACATTCCTTGTCCAAAAATCCTACACAGAACCGCAGTCGAGCTGCTTCTCCAGCTCTTCCAGCAAGCCCGGCACCTGGCGGTAAGCAGGGCAGACATCCTTCTGTCGGGAAGTGAAGACACCTCCTGGCCTTCTGTAACACTGCTCCTTTTCTGGCCCACGATTACCGCTCATACGTGCCACACCACTTGCCCCGCGAAGTTACCCAGGTGAAGCAATTGCTAGAACCCTACTGTGATCCTTCAAGTATTGCTGATATGTCGATGGCATGCACCGACAGGGAAGGCACTTCGTAACTATAGTAGCAGCAGTAGCTCAGCAAACTCCAACGGCTAACAAACAATCCTGAACGGAAGTGGCGATGCTTACAACTAACAACAAAAAGATTGAGATCAATGATCTATAAACGGAATACTCAGTGGCAATCACCATTTCCACAGCCCTCAAACCTCTGGCCTGATCCGTTGAGAGCGGCGCGTCCAGCTTCAGCTGATCAAAGAGGCCTCGTAGAAGGGTAGTCTGGTACCCCGTAACCGGATCAAATGTGGCAGCAGTCGCAAAGCTCCTGGTTCTCAAGCTTGCAGGCACAGACTTCCAATGCCAACCCCGCAAAAGGAACGCTCGTAGTCACTAACATGACTCAAGGACTACCATGAGCCGACAGCACACAGCTCGAAGACCTCGAGCTCCGAACCCGATCAGAATCACAGGGCCCGTAAAGTCTCCATTTCCCGGACTGCGAACGACCTGGAAGTCTACCTGAAAACGCTTACGTACATAGCCAAACATGATCAAAGAGGGCCTTAGGGCCTTGGGACTTCGGACCCAGGACACAGGGCTCTGATACCCGGGAAGCCTCGGAGCCCAAACCCCGTCCGAAAGTCTTCACGTTCTGCCGTGGAGCGGAAGGTCTCGGCATTGTGGGTGATCTTGTTGGGCTTTGCTGCCGGGGAAAAAGCGATGGGCGAGGCGTTCCCGAATGTGTAGCAGAAGGGTTCTTGTTAGAAGATCCGAAGGTTTGCGGTTTGAGAGCTCCCGGCTCGGATCTTGAAGTCAGGCAAGCAGGGGGCAAATTTCACACCAGGCGGGTCCAGGAGGGTCCTGCTTGTTGTGTCATTCTTTGGGTTCCTGGTTACTGTTCACTGCAATGGCCAACTACTCTACAAAAAGTACTCTGCCACCGTTCAATCCAACACCAGACAACAAACAAGCATAAGGATGGAAACAACGGCAGCAGTACACAGTACAGCTGAATTGCCCGCCTCATTGCCCCGAGGGGTGGGGGCCTGCCTACGATAAAGTCGCTTCGCAAGGTCGAAAGCTTCCCGGCCTTTGTTCTTTGCCTTGCCCTTCTTGCCAGCCTTGGTGGGGGCGAAATAGAACTCCTCGTCCCGATCTTCCTGGCACGTGCAAGGAGTGTATACTGACCACGAGATTAACCCCGACAAATAACACCAAGGTCATGCAGCTCAGAAATCAACAGCTTATGGCCGGAGAGAATTGGAAACATCGTCAGCGACATGATCCTTGCTCTGCAGCGAATCAGTTGCATCTGCGTTATTGAGTTTCCTACAGGACAGCCCCGTGACTGTTAAGATCAATAAAGGGTTTAAAATTTCCAGAAGAGGTAACTGTCACCTACTCAGCCAATAGAACATAGAATATCTCAAAACAGTACACCCAAGTTTCTGATCCGGACTTCCGTAATTAGTGGAGAAATTGAAGCGGCTTGCAAGAGTACAGTCTTGATTTTCACGAGCAGAATCACCGCGCGGGCCTTGCGGAGCAGGATCTCGGCACCGTCCGGGTTGTTGTATGCAACCTTCCAGGACGCCAAGTCGCTGCAAGCATCTGGCAAAACCGCCTTCTAACTTTGAATAGATCGGTGCACTTTTACGCAGTCGTCTGAGTTTTGTACCAGGAAGTGATGCTACCGTAGCAAACGAGTATGAATGGCAGGAATACGGAACAACCAGCACAAGGTGATGCAGTGATGCCGATAGAACAACTACAGTACTCCTGCTCGTCCTGCTCCTGCTGCGGCTGGCATCCCAGCGCATATGTTGTGGATATGTGGATCGTGGTCATGCCCTGGGGTCATCGTGACACCTGTCATCGAAGCAATACTACCAACAGCACCTGGACCTAAACTTGCGCTCTTTCTTGCAGCACCAATGCAAACTGCTTCGGCTGGCTAGTCCGCCTCCTTCTTCTCGGCCTTCTTCTCTTCCACCTTGGACTGAACGAGGCCTTTGCAGTACTTGATCGTCCTGAGCACGCCCGGATCTCTTCTGGGTCTTCCTGTTCTGACAGTTTCTGACATAACTTCAACGGGAAGAACATGTTGCCCAGCAACTGCTCGATGAGCGTGATCTCGGCCACGTACGGCCTCCAAGGCTTCAACAGCTGAGACCCTGAGAGGGCTTCGGCATCGAACCAGACAGGCTACCCCGCAACCCTTGCTCCTCAAACTCAACTCTAATGACGTCAAACATAGCGCAATGGATTGAGAAGCCATGACTGAATCAATGCATAAAAACACCATAATATTTGGAATGGTGAACTTGTTCGGACCAACTATCCATTTCTCGCAAGATTTTGCTGGCATAATTATATGTGTGCCTGTTGCCAAGACGAGAGTGCCGTGTTGTTGCTTTCGCTGTTGTTGCGCTGCTGCCTTTCTACTATTGTTGAGTGGCAGTCGTGTCAGTCAGGCGGTTTAGGGCCAATCCGCAGTGTTTTGTTCTGAGAACAAGGCGTAAGTTCTCGTGCATTTTTGACTGCTACTACGCCAAGTACCAGGTATCAAGCCTGACTTCCGCAGGAACTTTTTCAGGGCCGAGCCACTGCTCATCCAGCTTCTCTGCCTCGCGCTGCTTCCGGCGCAGGTCGTACTCCTCGAACAGGGAGAAAACAGGCAAAAGCATGGATTCGTTCTCGGAGCTTTGGCATCGAAGTTGATAGCTTTGCTGGTTTAGAACCCCTGCCTGTGCTCTTTCATACTTTCCTTCCAGCCCTCCCCGAACACTTGTACTCCCAAAGACCAAACTCCACATCATGTACACGACCTCCGTGCGGACGGAAAAGCTTGAGCAGCGGCTCCTTCTGCTTCTCGGCTTTCTCTGCCGCATAGCGCTCCCCCCGGATCGTAGGGTTTGACCGGGATTCACATGTTGTGTGCTTCTGGCTTCACTGTTGCCTCCCCTACACCCTCAGAAAGTAACCTCTTGTGCCAGGAGAACCCTTTAGTGGGGGAAAGGATTCACCGAAACCGCTTCGTCCCTTGACGACTCGTCCTGGCGGGCTTTGCGGAGTTCCTGCTGGTAGGCCCAGTACTCGCGCTCCTGTGGGAAACCACATGCTGCATGTACGGGGCTTGCCGAAGAGGCGCACTTCGAGCGTCTCTGCCGAAGCAGCTCGGCTTACCCGCACCGGAAATCGGCAGTGTGGCACCAAGTGGAGCAAGACACACACACACACACAGAGACACACAGAGACACACTTAGACACGCACAGACACACACAGACACACACACACACGAACAAAAAAAACAAAAAAAACGCGAGCGCACACGCGCACACACAATGCAGCGATTGGGGTCTCCGAAGAAGCAGCCGGTGAGCTGACCCGGCTTCAACAACGGGCATGGGGAAAACTTGCATTTGCAGTTCAACGGCCTCTCTTGGAAATGTTCTTGGAGCACACAGCAATGGACATTCGAATGAGAGGAACAGTTGTGCCGGTAAGCTGCATAATTTGCAAGATCTACTACCTGCGGCAACATCGAGAGCATGATTGCAATGATGATGCGTCCAGCTCTCCCCGGTGGACCGTCGAACTTCCACTGCCAGGCAAGGCTGAGGTCAAAAACATGTGCCTGACACTGCTAACACCTCAACTCCTCAACCTGAAGGCGGCATTTGCTAAGTCAAGCCCGCCTGTTGGCGGTACTCATCGCGCAGCGCATTGCGTTCCTGGCCGCTGGTGCAGCTTGCGGCAGGGCTAACTACATGTCTGAAGTGCTTCAAGGTCTAAGCATGAGGTTCAGTGTCTGCAAGCCTTGACTGCAGCTTCTAACAATCGACCAGATCGTTACCCCGTCTTCCGGTCCGGCTTTTCAAACAGCTTGTGTACCCCACGACAAACACCACTCTGTGAAGCTGAATCAATGTGGGATTCGATTGGCAACTTGTGCAAACTGTATCGATGCAATCTGACGGCTCGACCGAAGCACCTTCAAGAAATTTCCCAGCCCAAGTGGAGTCCTCGATGTTTTCTCTGAGCTTGTCGCCGATCGCGTTCCTCTCGTTCTGGATTTCCTGACGCAGGACTGCGTCTACCGCACCTCAAAGTCCTACCATGAGGCTCCGGGAGCCCAGAACAGCCTCCAAGACCTTCGCTGAATCTTCAGGCATGCCAAGGCCCTTTGACATAGCATCGTTCCAAGAATCCTCCTGCTGCCCTCATCACCCCGACGCTTGAAACAACGCCCCTGTCCTCGATGGGTCCCAGCTGGGCTTGACGAGCTTCGGACAACTCCGTCATCTGGTCCTGCCGTGTATCTTGTAATCTAGTACAAATGTTTGGGTCAGGGCGGACAGCGCGTTTGAGGCAAAAACTTCGGTTGAGGTATCCAATGATAGAGCTTTCCATCAGTAAGCAGTCAACCCAGACGCTCACGCAAAATTTGGGAGGTCACGCCTCATGTGCTGGAGCCCCGAATCCCAAACCTAATGTTAAAACGGCTTAGGACTAGGATGTCTGCGAGGCTAGATCTTCCCTTAAGAAACATGTGTTCCGATTCTCCCAGAAGAAAGTACTCTGTCAATGCTACTGTAAGAGTTTCATTCTATAACGATCTTCCATGAGGGATTTCATATGAGGCCTCAGTCTGCCATGGCAACCTGTGCTTTGGGGTTCGGCTTCCGGCATTCGGTTTGCACAGACTCCTGGATTTTCTTCTTCTCGTCACGGAACTGAGCGATGTCAGCATTGATGGCCTCCGTCTGCTCCTGCACAGTGACAGTTGTGATCCATGGAAAGCAGCGGTACAGTAGTAGTCGTCGTCCCCGGTAGGAGCCGTGGTAGTGGGAGAGCACAGGAGCAGTGGCTAGGTTTAGGAGCCATACTGTTCACAGTCAGGCTATATAGGTGCCGGAGTTGACTGACCACCGTGCGACTTCAACATCACATCCTCCACCAGAATAAGCACATTCATTACATCACGAACCAGGTGCTCAGCTACAGACATGGGATTTCTCTCCGCCGTGAGCCATGTGAGGCTGAAGACGAACCCTGGCATTCGACCAAAGCAGGCGGCAGAAGACTACACAGCCCTAACAACCGAGCGAAGCACGGAGTTGGAACCCCACTGCCTCACCCCGACGCCAGTTTCTCACAGCCCAACCCTGGAAAACCGACCTTGAAAAAGCTGAAATCAAACTGTTTGGTTGCCAGAACACCCAAGCCAACTTGAGCTAGTCCACTCTCATTGCTACAAGCCCCTGAAACGGATACCTTCAGGGACATGCCAGGGTCGAAGTTCGCCAAGTTTTGCTCCATCGTGTTCATGGTGTCGACCTTTCTCGGGGTTGAAGCATAGTTATGCAGGCTTGTGTCCGAATTTGGCGATTGGTTCACAGAATTTACCAGGTGGTTGGGTGTTGAGGGGCGAGTCAAGTCCGCACTGCAGTTGACTTTAACGCAGCTGCCACGCTCGCTAGCCCAGCATTCCATTGCAGGACGATGTTCGAGGTGTGCCCAAACAAGGAAGGCATGCCCTTTGATCTTGACAGCCGCACACAGATCTTCAGTTAACTCCCTTCTGGAAGAATCCAAATCCAAACTGACCCGGCCGGTACAGTACATACTAAATCTGCAATCAAACGCCTCACTTCCGTGAAGTTTTCGTTTGCGCATATGTGCGCCTGGTTCAATGTGATGGGTAATGAACCTCGTAATCGTATCCCAATTCCGAGCTCACCCATACCCGGCATACCCTGCACCGTGAATCTGATACATCTTATATATGCAGTCAAACACAAGCGAGCAAAGCTAGATGTAAATAGCAAACACAGATATGAAATGACTAGATATCTATACACGCAAAGAATCTCACATCTACACATGCCCTTGCACAAAGAAGTCTTGAACGGAGGGGCCTTGGAGTGTTTCTTCTTCCTCGGCTCGTACAGCGGCTCAGGGTCGGCAGAACCGGGACTCGAAGGGCCGGGAATTTCTTGGTGGGAGGTTCCTTGCCTTCAGCAGAGACCACGGGCTTACATTCTAGTGCAAACGACATTGTCCAAGTTTCAACGTCTGGATCTCGGCCAGGAGCTTCTTCTCCTGAGAGTGTGCCTTAACCTTCTCATGCCCGATCCGATGGGGCAAGTTTCTCCGCCATGTGTTCTGCAATCCCAATACCCTCAAATTTGTGTGCATCCAACATAAGGCTTTCGGTGGCTGATCAGGACAACTTTCCTCTCACATGGCGACCGTCCTCCTTCAGGGGCACGGATTCCGTGCACAGCTGGAACTCGATGGTGGCGATGCGGTTGTTGATCTCCTGCGCCAACAATGCTGTAACATATGTGCTTGATCTGTACAGTACTAGTAGATCCAATAATGCGAAATGTCCAAGGAGAACTCCAAGCATGCACGATAACATCAAGAATAGCTCTGTGGTGGCATGCCTGAGTCAGGAATACGGAAAAGTGAGAAAAAAACATGACAACAATGCAAGCGACGACGATGACACCATCAGCACAGACATTGCGCACAACTATGAAATCTCGAAGCACACGCACTGTAGTAATATATTTAATGTATGTACATGCTCCGAGCTAGTATCTCTCTCATGCTTCGATGTGACCGCTGAGCAAATGCATCTGGCTGGCTTGGCGGATTGTAGAGTGCACAACGAATCCACAACACGTGGTTATGAATGGGTGTGAGGCTTCTTAGAACTTGGCGAGTAAATTCTGCTGCGGATTTCAGTACAGCGCTGTGCTGCAATCTATGCTCTGAGGATTTTGAGGTCTGAGGTCTACTTCCGAGCTGATTGGAATGCCTACGGGTTTTGGCTCCAAATGGCTTGAAGTAATTAGGAGTCACAGTTTGTCAGGTCTCCTGCTGGCTGGTGAAGCCAACGGTCTTCTTCATGCTGTGCCTCAGAAAGACCAAGGAAACGTCTAGTATAAGGCCTTCAGGGCCCCGGCACCGCAGCACCGCGCAAGCGTAAGTCTTGATATCAAAACTGCCTGCGGGCAGACAAAGTGCTGCCGGGCTTCAGCTGCGAGCGCATCTCACGGCCCTCTTCACGCTTGTTGCCCACGGCCTTGTTGATCTCGTCCTAAGGAGACGCGGGCTTCATGTACACAGACGCAGGGCTTCTGAGCTTACCTTGCGGATGTCAACTGGCGGATGCCACCGCGAACAGCGAGAAGAAGAAACTCAGCACCGGTGCGTCCAACGCAAGAATATTTCGGAAAGGGACATGGGGAGAAATGTATGGATGATTTCGTCCGCAGGTGACCATGCAAGTTTATCGCCGACAATCGCCGACAAAAGAGAGCTGCCAAGAGACACAAACAGATCAAACACAGGAGGTGGCTCAAGCCCAAGACGAGAGGATCGCAAGATCGGCTGCTCCCCGTTTGAGCTGCCTCTGCTCGCCGACAAGCTTCCAACCCGTACAGCTGCCCCGGATCATGGAGTATGTACCGCTTAAGGTAATCCCTGCCATAGCCCGCAGACCTAACCCCCAAAGCCATAACGGCCTTCTTCTCCATCAGACCGTTGATCTTGTCAGTGATGACATCCAGCTGGGCTCTGAGTTCAGCCTCTCTCGAGACAGAACGAAAGCAAACATAAGCAATCGCCTCAGACTCGAATGACAAGGGTACGGCTAAAGGTTCGGGATGAGTCCAACCTACACTCAGGATCTACGGCGCCAAATCTCGCACATGCCAGGCGAGACTTAGTGCTTGGTCGGTTAGAAGTGAAGTCTAGTTTCGAGGGCGATCAACACAACTTATCGCTGTGTGTCATCAACCTGAACCATAAGGACTTTCGGCGCTCACACTCGGACGATCCAGGCGAGGCATGTGGTCTGAGGTCGGAGGTGAAACGGAATAAACTCAAGAAACATGCTTGAGATCAAGACACCATAAGGACTTTAGGGTGTAGGGCTCAGCAGCAGCAACCAGGAGTACTAATTACTCAGCATGAGTGGCCGCAGTCGTCGCCAATGCCACCAACTACGGCTCGAGGGCTGCAAATGACGATGGGAGCGACAAGCTGGCCTTCTTGGCACAGAACTCCTCCTTGCCACCGGATCGCTCCTGATGCATGCCGCATGCATGGCTGCTAAGTGAGAACTGCAGAAAGGGAGCAAGGTAATTGCCTTTGCACTTTATGTATACCGGGCCTGAAACTGAGCGGGGTGAGGTCCTACCGAGGCACCTCTCGTTCGCGACTGTTGCTTCCGAAGAAGGAAATAGACAGAAGCGACCCCGAAAACAAAGACAGAAGCGATCCCAAAAAAGAGACACAAGTGAACCCAAAAAAAAGACAGAAGTGATCGGGCACCCACTCCCTTTGAAGCTCCGAAGTCGTTCTTCTCTTCACGGCCGGAGGACAAGCAGAAGAAGCTCACCGAGAAGATTCAGGAGTGCGCTTCTTCAAGCTTTCAGTGTTGAGCAGGATGCGGCAGGAGAGTCAAAGATTGAAAACATGTGTGCCGCGGATGGGGTTAAGAGGCACAACTTGACGAAAAGTTATGAGTTATGAGTCATGGGGCTGTAGTCTATGAAGGGGTGTCTAAACATGTGTAGATAGTTCTTGTATATTACACATTGTACGCATATACGTATACCTATATGTAAACATACACGTGCACATAAACACATGCAACTAACAGTTACATATGCGTCTACATGCACATAGACATGCATGCGTACTGTATAAAGGGGTGTCTAAACATGTGTAGTCATTTATTTCTATACATATACACATACACACACAGATGCAAACATGTACGCACTGTTCCTTGGCATAGTCCGTTCGTTTCTCCTGTCAGGGGTTGGGCCTTCTTTCATTAGGGTTTCGTTCTGGGTTTACTCCTTTAGGGCTTTCGTTCTGGGTTTACTCCTCTTAGGGGTTGGGCCTTCTTTCATTAGGGTTTCGTTCTGGGTTTACTCCTTTTCGGGTTTCGTTCTGGGTTTACTCCTCTTAGGGTTGGGCCTCCTTTCATTAGAGTTTCGTTCTGGGTTTGCTCCTTTTAGGGTTTCGTTCTGGGTTCACTTCTTTTAGGGTTTCGTTCTGGGTTTACTCCTCTTAGGGGTTGGGCCTTCTTTCATTAGAGTTTCGTTCTGGGTTTACTCTTTTTGGGGTTTCGTTCTGGGTTTACTCCTCTTAGGGGTTGGGTTTCGTTCTGGGTTTACTCCTCTAAGGGGTTGGGCCTTCTTTCATTAGGGTTTCGTTCTAGGTTTACTCCTTTTAGGGTTTCGTTCTGGGTTTACTCCTTTTAGGGGTTGGGCCTTCTTTCATTAGGGTGTCGTTCTGGGTTTACTCCTCTTAGGGGTTGGGCCTTCTTTGATTAGGGTTTCGTTCTGTGTTTACTCCTTTTAGGGTTTCGTTCTGGGCTTACTCCTCTTAGGGGTTGGGCTTCGTTCTGGGTTTACTCCTCTTAGGGGTTGGGCCTTGTTTCATTGGGGTTTCGTTCTGGGTTTTACTCCTCTTAGGAGTTGCTTCGTTCTGGGTTTACTCCTTTCAGGGTTTCGTTCTGGGTTTACTCCTCTTAGGGGTTGGGCCTTCTTTCATAAGTAACACCCCTTCCGATTCAGCCTTAAGCACAAGCATGCAGGGGCCTACAACTGCAGGAAGATGAGCAAGAACGAGAATGAGCTGAGCGAGACTTCGCCAAGTACATGCAACTGGCTCAGCAGGCTAAGACCCAACTTCCGGCAGCCTTGCGTATGCGGGTATTGCGAAGATCCGGCATTGCCTGTGCTCAGGTGTGCTCGCGGCCCAGTGATTGATTGCCATCGGCACTGCTCTCCACGGCTTGGCATAGCAAAGAGAATGCGTTTTCTATTTGCATCACAGCGCACATGTGTCGGTGCGCACATGTGTCCAACTCCAGCAAAGAGGAGAGCTTGATCAAAGGAGGCTGGAAGGCAGACTTCCGACGCCAAGGCAGTGGGAACCCGGTATCTTCTTCATGCGACTTGTGACTTGCATGCTGACGCCCCTAAGCCCCTGAGGCGCTGACGTCAGGAGCCAAGGCTGCTGCCGTGGCCGTCACGGCCTTTTTCATGTTGCGGAGCTCCTCGGGTCCGTGTGCCTTGCGAAGTTCAATGCAGCATCTGCAACGCATTCGGTTCTGAACTTGCTCATGGCAGGCCATGGCTGTGAGCCAAATGCAACCAAGCTGCAAAACGGCACTGGCTGCCGTTTCGGCATCCTGCAAAGAGAATACCCGTCGTTATCACAGCCGGTTGTCCGTCTATCCTGGCGGTTTAAAAAGAGTCTTTAGCATGGTCTCTGAACAGTGGATTGCCGTTCAAGGGTCCGGGACTGTGAGACTGGCATGGTCTTTCAAAGGAAAGGGGATTCAAGTCCTCGCTTGCCTTTTCAGGGACCCCAAGTGTAGTCAAGGCGCCCGTTTCATTCCACTTGCAAAGCTTCGTCTTATAGAAGAGACGCGTCGAGACCAGCTCCTGTCAGTGTGCCCGTGCAGAGGAATGGGCATGTCTCTACAGTACTTCCGTTACTTCAACATGGCATCACTGGCACTCGACCATTTTGGGCTCGAAGATGACACTCGCCTGCCCGCCATGTGCAACGGCACAGTTCAGATCGGTGGACTTGCCCTCGGCGAATGCCTTCACGAACTCTTCTGAGCTTCTCAGGCTGGGCATGTCATGCATGGGATTCAGCCCTAAGCACAAGCATGCAGGGGCCTACAACCAGTCAGCTCCACTGCAGGAAGATGAGCAAGAATGAGAATGAGCTGAGCGAGACTTCGCCAAGTACATGCAACTGGCTCAGCAGGCTAAGCCCCAACTTCCGGCAGCCTTGCGTATGCGGGTATTGCGAAGATCCGGCATTGCCTGTGCTCAGGTGTGCTCGTGGCCCAGAGATTGATTGCCATCGGCACTGCTCTTCACTACTTCACGGCTTGGCATAGCAAAGCGGATTATTTCGATGCAAAACGCTCCAGGCCGAAAGCACCTAAGCCCAAGAGCTGCAGGTTTACCCACTCGACTTTCGTCCGGACCTGGAGCTCGGTGCCGCTGTGTGCGAAGGCACACTGCGCGCCATAGTGACAGGCCCCCTGGACTCAAGTCGTGTCGCTCTTTGCATCTCTCATCTCTTACTCGTGTCCCTTGCAAGTAAGTGCCTTGAGGAAGTAGGTGCAGAACTTCGTCTTCTGTAGCTGGCGATGGAGGCAAGCCTCGAGCGACAGCCGAGCGCCGCAGTTCAGAGACACTCTTGGGTCGTGGCGGGGCGGTTCACCTCTCCTTTGGCCTTATGGGCGAAATCATAGTTCGAATTTGAAAGGCGCTTTCTGTTGCAGCGCGGGAAAACGGGCCGGGTCACGCTTCATGGGCTTATTTGCGTGTTCCTAGCAAGATACTCCGGGCAACTGTGATAGGTGTTCTTTACTGCACTTTCCTATTTCCTAAACCAAATTGCCAAAGTGCGCAAGTACCGCTGGATTTCTCCAGTCAGTATCCTGCGCGCTAAGGCTGTGACACTGGCCCACTTTGCACCTGGCATGGGGTGTGGGGTCAGTTGAGGTCCAGAACCAGGATTCACGCAATAGCTCATTATTATGAGGGTATGTAGTTGGCTTTCAATCACACCATCTGCGTGTCACGTAGTTACGTTTGTGAACGTTGCCAGCATTTCAGCTTCGAATAGGCTCGTGCATTCAAGCAGGCAAGACATCCGGCCCTGGAAAAACCCTCCGTAAACCCTTTTGCAACTGGCCTGCAACGACTCCGCCAGGGCGAACACTTGACCACAATCACTCAGTGTAAACCTAAAACCCTGAACCATGAAAACCTGAGTCTGCTGCCTCGGCCTTGCA